TCTGCGGCCGTCTGGAACGCTCTCTCTCTCTTCCGATATTAGGAAGCCACTGGGGAGCGATGCGCTTTTACATCTGGCTTGAAAACTCGTTTCTTTAGAACTGCTTTTTTGCATTTAATTTGCTGTCCTTCCCCCGCGCACCTCCGATTAGCACGGTTGGCTATGTACGGTGCGAAAGAAGTCCAACCATCATACATCTGCCCAAGAATGCCACCACCTTGGCTTGTGCAGCTCCCCCGACTCTCCAACATGGAGCTGCCACGGTGAGTTGTGGTGGATTCCGCCTAGGCCCTGTTGCTCGACAACTGATGACTGTCCTCGGCGAGACCCCTTCCACCGCCTATCTCCTAGACTCCAAGCCGCCTGTTCCTTCCCGTGTTAAATCACCTCGAGAAGGAATGCGTTGGCTCTCCTGCAGGTGTTCCCGCCAGCCACAGTCTGGCATTACATAACCAGTCTCGCCAGCAATTAAAGAGAAAGATCTCCCATACAGCCATAATAGGCTGCGGCAAATGCTGTTAGCGAGCACCTATTAATGCCGGCTGGCGGGCACACGAGGGGATGGGTGACCAGCACCACGCCTGGCCGCCCCATTATCTCCCCCGCTGCTGATGTTTACACACCGCACCAGGTACTCATTTCGGGCCGTGTCGACCAAGGAGAGATCCCAGGGTAGCTTCAGATATTCCTCGCCGATGTTGGCCGTGAGCTGGAATCGAACTCGGGTCACCGGCTTTGTAGCGTTAGCGCCACCGCTCACCCACCCTCCCAAGCACAAGCGTCACCCCTTTTGACCCTGTGTGCGACCCGGCCAAGTTTAGCCATCAACATTGAGCACGAAGAGATCGATAAGAGATCGATAAGAGGTCACTTTCCCGTGAGCAGGAGTACACGCTGTGTGCAATGGGCTCTGCAGTCACTCCCCGTGCCCGTGTAGGACACCGGTATTTAACAAAAAAAAATCCCCCCCTCCCCCCCCGATGTAATAGAAACTCAAACTGCCTAAAAGAATCGATATCTTTATTATTTTTTTCATTGAAAAACAATACTTGTTAAGGGTGTAAGAGTTTGTCTGTTAAGAGATATACAATAGTTCCCCGGTTTAGGTCGGGGATGCGTTCGTGAAAGGTGCGATGGCGAATGTCGAAACGACGTCAGTCAAAGCGATGTAGAGGGTCGGTGGTGGAGGCTAAGACTGAGAGGTGACGGATCCGAGGAAGGATGGACGATGCTGTCTGCCACGTGTGGGGTCGAGGCGACACAAATCGGGTAGGGGCATTGATAATAAGGTGACGTGTTTGTGAAACGACGTTAAGGGAGGATACGTAAATCGGGGCATTGCCGTGGTACTCGGTAACGATTCACACACCGATGATTTAAAAGCTGCTCATCAGGATTTTTTTTTTAATTTCTTTTCAGGCCCCCATGGTGTAAAGTGCAGTCTCTGGTTCTCCAATAATAATTTACATTTGCAAAGCGCAGATCCCGATGCGCCGTGTAGAGAAAAAACAGAACACAACAAGAACCAAGTCTGGGCTCTCTGGCCGGTGCTATGAAGAAGGGCCATTACCAGGACTGTCATCTGTTGTATGCTGATCCTTTTTAAGCCCACAGTGTTATCGCCGAACGTGTTGAGTTGTTCTGTTATTTGGGTGTGCACCGTTGGCATTTCTCCCACCTCTATCCAGCAAATACGGCCGGGACTGTGCGGGTGTTTGCGTTGCAGGAGGTGTCACTTGGCACGAATTCCTCAAAATTAACAATCGCCTTTCGTATCGTGTGTCTCTCGCACACGCAAAGACACAGATCCCCCCCACCCCGTGTAGCCTTCGCAGATTGTTGGGGCAAGTGCGGTTAGCGAGTAGGACCTATGAAGGCCCGGCACGACACACCAGGGGACTGGGTGGCCAACACCACGCCCGGCCGCCTTTGTCTCCCTAATGGCGATTTTTTTTCTTTCTTTCTTTCATTTTTACACCGCACTAAGGTACTAATTTGAGGCTGAGTCGACCTAGGGGCGGCCCAGGACCGGGTCAGACAATCGTCACCGGTGTCGGCGGCCACGTGCGGTCATCGATCTGGGGTCGCCGGGTTCGTAGCGCAGCGCTAACCACTACGCTACCGCTGCCCGCTCTCTCACTCCTCCCTCCCTCCACAATGCTTTAATAGAAACCAGGCCCTTTCACAGTCACTCTGGCACAAGTTGCCTCGTGACACCAACACACACCTCCTCCCACGCACATCTGCCCCCCACCCCCCCAACACTTCTGCGGAGTGAGTAAATAGCTGTTGTGCGTGTGTGTGTGTCTCTCTCTCTCTCCTCAAAACCAGCAATGCTAAACCTCTCTCTGGCTGGCTGTCCAGAACCAGTGGTGGAAATTCCACGTTTGCGTGGCCCGGCGACGTGGGCAATGAGAAAGATGAGCACTGAATGTTGTTGACTTGACCACAAAATAGTACACGGGGTTTTTTTGTTGTTGCTGCTGTTGTTGTTGTATCAATTCCGGAAAGATGAGAGGGCTTAGTCGACCCCTCCCCCCCACCACCGTCATAATTCAGACTTGTGGCTATAGCGCTGCTGGCATTCATGCCTTTTGCACAGTGTCACGAGTCATACAGGCATGGGGGTTGTTTGACCATATTTCATCAAGCTGGTGAGTGCGGGTTGATGCTGACGGATGATGTGATGGTGGGATGAAGCGACGCGGAAGCCAACGGATTTCACGATGAAAAGCGGCGTAACAATGTGCCTCAATAGAGATTTCCAATCAGGCGCATGGCCGTATACAGTGTTGGCACATTAAACTAAACTTTTTATTATTAACAAGCGACCTGGCCATCGCAAATGCTCGGCTCAACGAAGTGGCTTTATGTCACGTGGACATTAAATTTATAGCCGTGGCCAAAATGCTCTATAAACGTGTGATGTTGATTCTAAATGGTGGGTGGGGTGGTGATGGTGGTGGTGGGTGGGTGGGGTGGTGGTGGTGGGTGGGTGGGTGGTGGTGGGGGGGAAACGCGACCACGGCGAGAGAGAACGGGCCACGCAGACTCCAAACATACAGCAGGCGCAGCCATCACTTTGCCTCTCTCTCTCACAAACAAACAAAGAGAAATAATCTCCCTCCACCATAGCCCTGACAAGACTGTTGGGGGCAAGTGCCGTTAGCGAGCAGCGCCTATGCAGGCCAACGAAGGAAGGCCTTCCCGAGTGGCGATGTGTCCTACACACCGCTCCAGCAGGTACTCATTTGAGGCTGAGTCGACCTAGGGGGGGGGGTCCGGTTCAGACAATCGTCGCCGGTGTTGGCCGTGAGCGCGAATCTAACTCCACGGTCGCCGGGTTCAGTGGCGTGGCGCGCTAACCACGACACTGCCACTCTCTTCCCTCCTCCTCATCATCATCACCACCATCATCATCATCTTCCAGCCTCTTCATCACCACCACCATCCACCCTCCTCCTGCAAACCCCAAAGAGTGGCTCAAACAAAAGTCTCCCTCTGCCTCTACTGCTCCCCCATCCCCCACGTCTCCCTCCCTCGCAAACTTCTCTCCCCTGCACACTCTCACCCCTTCTCTCACTCTTTCTCTCACCAAACTCTCACCAAACTCTCTCACTCTCCCTCCCCTTCTCTCTCACCAAACTCTCTCACTCTCCCTCCCCTTCTCTCTCACCAAACTCTCTCACCAAACTCTCTCACTCTCTCACCCCTTCTCTCTCTCTCTCACCAAACTCTCTCACTCTCTCACCCCTTCTCTCTCTCACCAAACTCTCTCACTCTCCCTCCCCTTCTCTCTCACCAAACTCTCTCACCAAACTCTCTCACTCTCTCACCCCTTCTCTCTCTCTCACCAAACTCTCTCACTCTCTCACCCCTTCTCTCTCTCACCAAACTCTCTCACTCTCTCACTCTCCCACCCCTTCTCTCTCTCTCACCAAACTCTCACCAACTCTCTCACTCTCCCTCCCCTTCTCTCTCTCTCACCAAACTCTCACCAACTCTCTCACTCTCCCTCCCCTTCTCTCTCTCTCACCAAACTATCACCAAACTCTCTCACTCTCTCACTCTCCCACCCCTTCTCACTCTCTCACCAAACTCTCACCAACTCTCTCACTCTCCCTCCCCTTCTCTCTCTCTCACCAAACTCTCACCAACTCTCTCACTCTCCCTCCCCTTCTCTCTCACCAAACTCTCTCACTCTCCCTCCCCTTCTCTCTCACCAAACTCTCTCACCAAACACTCTCACTCTCTCACCCCTTCTCTCTCTCTTTCTCTCACCAAACTCTCACCAAACTCTCTCACTCTCCCTCCCCTTCTCTCTCACCAAACTCTCTCACTCTCCTTCCCCTTCTCTCTCACCAAACTCTCTCACCAAACTCTCTCACCCCTTCTCTCTCTCTCTCACTAAACTCTCTCACCAAACTCTCTCATTCTCCCACCCCTTCTCTCTCTCTCACCAAACTCTCACCAAACTCTCTCACTCTCCCACCCCTTCTCTCTCTCTCTCACCAAACTCTCACCAAACTCTCTCACTCCCTCACTCTCTCACCAAACTCTCTCACTCTCTCACCAAACTCTCTCACTCTCTCACCCCTTCTCCCTCTCTCTCACCAAACTGTCTCACTCTCTCACTCTCCCACCCCTTCTCTCTCTCTCACCAAACTCTCACCAAACTCTCTCACTCTCCCACCCCTTCTCTCTCTCTCACCAAACTCTCTCACTCTCTCACTCTCTCTCGCTGTGCCTCTGCCTCTCCAGACATTCGGCCAAAAAAATGTTTGGTCCTGGCGTCACAAATTGAGCCACGTACTGTACGGCCCGTGGCGGTATTTCGGAGTGGAGGAGGAGGAGGAGAGGGAGGAGGAGGAGGAGAGGGAGGAGGAGGAGAGGGAGGAGGAGGAGAGGGAGGAGGAGGAGAGGGAGGGGGAGGAGAGGGAGGAGGAGGAGAGGGGGGGGAGGAGAGGGAGGAGGAGAGGGAGGAGGAGGAGAGGGAGGAGGAGAGAGCGGCCCAACTTTTAGCTCCCTAGGAGGAGAGAGGGAGAGAGAGGCGCGACTTTTAGCTCCCAAGGAGGAGAGGGGAGAGGGGGAGAGAGAGGCCCAACTTTTAGCTCCCAAGGAGGCCGCCACGGAGCGAAAACAGCCGCCTCACACGGCATGAGGTGAGGCCCGCAGACTCGCTCACACATACACACAGACACACACACAGACACACACACTCACACACAGACACACACACAGACACACACACAGACACACACACATACACACACACTCACACAGACACTCACACATACACACAGACACACACACAGACACACACACTCACACACACTCACACATACACACAGACACACACACAGACACACACACTCACACAGACACTCACACATACACACAGACACACACACAGACACACACTCACACAGACACTCACACATACACACAGACACACACACAGACACTCACACAGACACTCACACATACACACAGACACACACACAGACACACACTCACACAGACACTCACACATACAGACACACACACAGACACACACTCACACAGACACTCACACATACAGACACACATACAGACACACACACAGACACACACTCACACAGACACTCACACATACAGACACACACTCACACACACAGACACACACTCACACAGACACACACTCACACAGACACTCACACACACACACAGACACACACTCACACACACAGACACACACTCACACAGACACACACACTCAGACACTCACACAGACATACACACAGACACACACACACATACACACACAGACACTCACTCACACACACAGACACACACACTCACACACACACTCACACACACACTCACACACACACTCACACACACACTCACACACACACTCACACACACACTCACAAAACAAAGATCCCCCATATAGCCTTAACAGACTGTAGGGGCAAGTGCTGTTAGCGAGCACCTATAAAGGCCGGTAACGGTACACGAGGGGGTGGGTGGCAGCACCACGCCCGACCGCCTTTGTCTCCCTAGTGGCAATGTTTACACACCGCACCAGGTACTCATTTGAGGCTGAGTCGACCTAGGGGAGGTCCGGGACCGGTTCAGATAATCGTCACTGGTGTTGGCCGTGAGCGGGAATCGAACCCGTGTCGCCGGGTTCATAGCGCAGCGCGCTAACCGCTACACTATCGCACACACACACTCAGATACACACAGAGACACTCACAAACACAGTCACTCACACACACAGACACCCACTCACACACAGACACTCACACACACAGACACTCACTCACACACACAGACACTCACACACACAGACACTCACTCACAGAGACACTCACACACACAGACACACACACACTCAGAGACACACACAGAGACACTCACACACACAGACACTCACTCACACACACAGACACTCACTCACACACACAGACACTCACACACACAGACACTCACACACACAGACATTCACACACACAGACACTCACTCACACACACAGACACACACACACAGACACTCACACAGACACTCACTCACACACACAGACACACACACTCACACACACAGACACTCACACACACAGACACTCACTCACACAGACACTCACACACACAGACACTCACTCACTGAGACACTCACACAGACACTCACACAGACACTCACTGAGACACTCACACAGACACTCACTGAGACACTCACACAGACACTCACTCCGACACTCACTCGGACGCTCACTCCGACACCCACTCACATAGACACTCACTCTGACACTCACACAAACACTCACTCACACAGACACTCACTCAGGCACTCACTCACTCAGACACTAACTCCGACACTCACACAGACACTCACTTAGACAGACACTCACACAGACACTCACTCAGACACTCACTCACTCAGACACTCACACATACACTCACTCAGAGACTCACTCAGGCACTCACTCAGAGACTCACTCAGACACTCACACAGACACTCACTCAGATACTCACTCAGACACTCACTCACACAGACACTCACACATACACTCACTCAGAGACTCACTCAGGCACTCACTCAGACACTCACACAGACACTCACTCAGAGACTTACTCAGACACTCACTCAGACACACACAGACACTCACTCACTAAGACACTCACTCAGACACTCACACAGACACTCCGACACTCACTCACTCAGAGACTCACACAGACACTCACTCACACACACAGACACACACACAGACACTCACTCACAGAGACACTCACACAGACACTCACACACACAGACACTCACACACACAGACACACACACTCACACACACAGACACTCACACACACAGACACTCACACACACAGACACTCACTCACACAGACACTCACACACACAGACACTCACTCACTGAGACACTCACACAGACACTCACACAGACACTCACTGAGACACTCACACAGACACTCACTGAGACACTCACACAGACACTCACTCCGACACTCACTCGGACGCTCACTCCGACACCCACTCACATAGACACTCACTCTGACACTCACACAAACACTCACTCACACAGACACTCACTCAGGCACTCACTCACTCAGACACTAACTCCGACACTCACACAGACACTCACTTACACAGACACTCACACAGACACTCACTCAGACACTCACTCACTCAGACACTCACACATACACTCACTCAGAGACTCACTCAGGCACTCACTCAGAGACTCACTCAGACACTCACACAGACACTCAGAGACTCACTCAGAGACTCACTCAGACACTCACTCAGACACTCACACAGACACTCACTCAGAGACTTACTCAGACACTCACTCAGACACTCACACAGACACTCACTAAGACACTCACTCAGACACTCACACAGACACTCACTCCGACACTCACTCACTCAGAGACTCACACAGACACTCACTCAGGCACTCACTCACTCAGACACTCACTCAGACACTCACACAGACGCTCACTCAGAGACTCACTCAAGCAATCACTCCGACACTCCCTCAGACACTCACACAGACACTCACTCCGACACTCACTCAGACACTCCCTCAGACACTCACACAGACTCTCACTCCGACACTCACTCAGACACTCACTCAGACACTCACACAGTCACTCACATAGACACTCACACAGACACACAGACACTCACACAGACACTCACTCAGACATTCACACAGCCGCTCACTCAGAGACTCACTCAGGCACTCACTCCGACACTCCCTCAGACACTCACTCCGACACTCCCTCAGACACTCACACAGTCACTCACACAGACACTCACACAGACACTCACTGAGACACTCACTCACACAGACACTCACAGATACTCACACAGACACTCACTCAGACACTCACACAGTCACTCACTCAGACACTCACTCAGACACTCACACAGTCACTCACATAGACACACAGACACTCACTCCGACACTCACAGAGAGACAGAGGGTGTTGACAGACAGGCTTCAGAGAGAAGTGGCAGAAGAGAGAGAGAGAGTTGATGGAGAACAGATACGTTTCTGGAGAGTGATAAGTTAATGGAGACATACGTTGGAGAGAGAGAGAAGTTGACGGAGAGATACAGTGAGGGACAAAAGTATTTGATCCCCTGCTGATTTTGTACGTTTGCACACTGACAAAGAAATGATCAGTCTATAATTTTAATGGTAGGTTTGTTTGAGCAGTGAGAGACAGAATAACAACAACAAAATCCAGAAAAACGCATGTCAAAAATGTTATACATTGATTTGCATTTTAATGAGGGAAATAAGTATTTGACCCCTCTGCAAAACATGACTTAGTACTTGGTGGCAAAAACCCTTGTTGGCAATCACAGAGGTCAGACGTTTCTTGTAGTTGGCCACCAGGTTTGCACACATCTCAGGAGGGATTTTGTCCCACTCCTCTTTGCAGATCTTCTCCAAGTCATTAAGGTTTCGAGGCTGATGTTTGGCAACTCGAACCTTCAGCTCCCTCCACAGATTTTCTATGGGATTAAGGTCTGGAGACTGGCTAGGCCACTCCAGGACCTTAATGTGCTTCTTCTTGAGCCACTCCTTTGTTGCCTTGGCCGTGTGTTTTGGGTCATTGTCATGCTGGAATACCTATCCACGACCCATTTTCAATGCCCTGGCTGAGGGAAGGAGGTTCTCACCCAAGATTTGACGGTACATGGCCCCGTCCATCGTCCCTTTGATGCGGTGAAGTTATCCTGTCCCCTTAGCAGAAAAACACCCCCAATGCATAATATTTCCACCTCTATATTTGACGGTGGGGATGCTGTTCTTGGGGTCATAGGCAGCATTCCTTCTCCTCCAAACACGGTGAGTTGAGTTGATGCCAAAGAGCTCCATTTTGGTCTCATCTGACCACAACACTTTCACCCAGTTGTCCTCTGAATCATTCAGATGTTCATTGGCAAACCTCAGACGAGAGAGGGGGCGGCGGAGAGGTTTACAATAGAGAGATGGGGGAGACAACCCAGTAAAAGTCGTGCGACGTTGGGCCAACGTTGTTGGCACTTGGAAGCGTTTGGCGTTGGCCAACGTCCCCATGTTTCCCAGGGAAGGTGATGGAGAGAGAGGGACAGAGGAGTTGATATTGAGAGTGTGGCCCTGATGGAGTTGCTATTGAGCGTCGATTGAGGTTGAAGGGGCAGAGACTTTGGTTGATGTCGAGGCAATTTGCTCTTGTTACACACAACCTTCCACTCACTCCGCTACTCATTCTGCCCTTCGATGGACTCGGTGCTTGCTTAAGCTCATGGCGACCGCGGGGAGGGGGCATTTAAGGCTGAGGCTGGCCAGCGAACTTGGCGACGTTGGGCCAACGTTGGGCCGACGTTGCTTCGACGGTTTCGACCACATGCCAACGTTGGCTCGACGTTGGCTCGACGTTGGCATATTCACCTGGGAAGCTCGTGTGGCTCATCGCAAACTGCTGTGTATTTGGGGTTCGTATTTTCTGTCTCTCTCTCTCTCTCCATCGCTCCGCGTGTCGATTTTTCTCCGGGTCCTCCGGTTTTTCCCTCCACATTTAGAATCAACATCGCGCGTGTTTAGAGTCTTTGGCTGCTATAAATGTCCGCGTGATTAAGTCACTTCATTGGGGGCTAATATTTGTGGCC